TTTAGTTGGACGATCATTTATTTTTCAACAGGACAATGACCCCAAACACACCTCCAGGCTGTGTAAGGGCTATTTGACCAAGAAGGAGAGTGATGGAGTGCTGCGGCAGATGACCTGGCCTCCACAGTCACCGGACCTGAACCCAATCGAGATGGTTTGGGGTGAGCTGGACCGCAGAGTGAAGGCAAAGGGGCCAACAAGTGCTAAACACCTCTGGGAACTCCTTCAAGACTGTTGGAAAACCATTTCAGGTGACTACCTCTTGAAGCTCATGGAGAGAATGCCAAGAGTGTGCAAAGCAGTAATCAGAGCAAAGGGTGGCTATTTTGAAGAAACTAGAATATAAAACATGTTTTCAGTTATTTCACCATTTTTTGTTAAGTACATAACTCCACATGTGTTCATTCACAGTTTTGATGCCTTCAGTGAGAATCTACAATGTAAATAGTCATGAAAATAAAGAAAACGCATTGAATGAGAAGGTGTGTCCAAACTTTTGGCCTGTACTGTACATCGACCTGTTTTTCTGTCCAATAAGAATGAACAATTAACAAGAACAATGACACACAGGAATTTTTCATAAAGAAAACAGTCCATATGAGACACATAGCAATCATAACAGACAGCTTTTTGTGTTATGTATTATATATGTATTAAGGATAACACATTTCTTGCACTTTCTATTTTTAATTTGTTACCCTCAGACCATCGCAAAACTAGCTCTTTATCGTGAGAAATTAGGATTAAACTTGAATTCTACCAGTCACGTTTCAGCTCTTTCAGGCTCCAAGTTCATTAGGAGTGGAGCATTTAAGTTGCTTTAGATGCAAAGATCAATATCGCTCTCATCGCTATGCATTAAGAACAGAGTTGTGTTAGAACGTGGCTAGCTTAGCTTAGCACAAAGACTGGAACTAAAGGAAAACAGCTAGTCTGTCTTTCAAATACTCATTTTTGCAGTTCATTTCATAGTATTAGAATGCTTCCTTAAAATATCTAATAATAGTTTTTAAGCTTGCTGGCTTAGAATTCAGTTTTGAGGCTGATGAGTTCAACTACAGTACTGATCTGATGCACAGGATGGTTTGTTACACAGAACTTCTGAGAAGCCGTCAGCGGAATCTGTTTGGAAAAGGGCAGGCACTTGTAAAAAATACTCGACAGGTGGTTGGATGAGCCATTCACTATTCACCATCTATCCTGCTTATTTTCAATCAGTCAGATCATCAAACTCACCAGCAGAGCCAGTTGGTAAATCAAATTCTTGTCAAAGCCTGTTGAGAGAAACGAAAACGTATCCTCCACTGAGAAATTTTTCAGTGCCATTCTTTGCTCTTCTTTAAAGGAAGTAGTACTTTCCAGTTCTGACATAACTTTATGAGCCGCCATTGTTGTTCTGAATGAACAGTTGCCTCTCTGTGCTAACACACACAGCTAAACCACACCCGAAGC